GGTTTTAACAAAAAAGTACTTAAGACACACCGTGGTGTTTGGGTACACAAAGATTCCAACATAAAATCACATAATAACAGCTCAACTTAATACATTCACTATCATCTCACTATTTCCCTCAAGTAACATAGTAAATTTAATACATTTCATTTCTATCCTAAATTTCTATTACTACTAAACCTGTTTATTAAAATTTAAAATCAATTTCAATTACCATAGTCAGATAGTGTTTTACATCAGCATATTATCACTTCAAATACCTCTTGCAAATATATTCAAATTCTTAATTCCTCTCATCCCTTTTTTATCACCAATCTTATTTATTTCTTCTTCCAATAATAACTAATTTAATAAAAAAAGAAAAAAGAAAACAATATTATTATATCTTGTCAAATCATATTATTATGCACAAACATCTCATAAGTAATTAAACATTACACATGTATATAATTATAGTTTTCTTACTTCTAAATCTAAATCATGATCCTTAACTTTTCAGTCAATAATTCCATTTTTATTAATTATAGTAGTCTTTGACTTAATTCATTTCCATTCATTAAAAAATCAAATTCCATCTAATTAATTATCATACCATATCAAAACGTATTATTATACACAAAAATCTCCTAATTAATTAAGCATTTCAAAAATTCCAGTCTAAATCAATCTATTATTCCAAGGAGTACATTCTTAGTCTCTATAAAGCCAAGTTTCTTTTTTCACTCCACATTTAACTTTCATTATTCCATATCAAATTTCTATAAAACAAAAAAGTCATCAAACTAAATTAAACACACATATATATTTGTAGATTTCTTATTTCTAAATCTAAATCATTATCCTTAAAACAATCCATAAAACCAACATTGCCTTTAAATCCATTAGATAGTTTTTACTAACTTAAACACACATGTATATAATTGCATTTTTCCGTATTCATTATCTTGAAACAATCCATGAAATCAACATTGCCTTTTATTCCATTAAAGATCAACAATTTAAACACGCATGTGTATAATTGCATTTTTCAACTCTAAATCATTATCCTTAAAACAGTCCATAATATCAACATTGCCTTTTACTCCATTAAACGTCTTTAAATTTGTTTTTGAGTCTAATTCTGGGTTTCTTTCTCTGCCACACTGACTTCCATAAAGACGCTTCCCTTTCAACCAGTAAGTCCATTCTCAATGTTTGTAGGAATCTTTGAACAAATGTATGTCCCTTTCTCTGTAGTAAGCATCTTTTTTCTCCATCAACCATTAGGTCAATTCTTATTGCTTGTAATAATCTTTGAGAGAATATAGATCTCTTCCTCTGCAGTAAACGTCTTTTTCTATTCTCTTTGTGATATAGTTGCTTTGTATTTTTAAGTCTTGGTCTTTGCTTCTTCTGGTTGTCTAAATTGCTGGCGAAGGGATTGTCAGATGAAATAGATTCCACTTCTATCTCTGTAAATTCCTCTTCTGGCACATTTTGATTTATGTCATAATCAGTTGTAACCAGGACATCATTTTGGGCAAATATAGTAGAATCTCTGGATCTTAATTCTAAAGTACAATTTTTAAATGTAGCATAAATTTCTGCAGGGGCCTCATAAATCTTTTCCAGTATAAGTGCAGAATTCAGTTGTATCTGAGGTTTCTCCATTTTAATACTAATGCTTAAAAGGAGATCTCTTTTTCTTTTTTGTAGAGGCTTTGTTTAGTGTAGAGACATCCACCCCCACAGCTTCACAGGTGCACAGCTTATCTTTAATGTTTTAAAGTTCATAAGAGATAATAAGTAAAGTTGCAGTATTAAGTTTTTGCCACTAGATGTCCTCAGTGAGTTCAGAAAGTCCTTTCCAAAAGTCAATTCTTTTTTTTTCTGTCTTTTAAGATTATATATATATATATATATATATATATATATATATATATATATATATATATATATATATATATATATATAATATATATATATATATATATATATATATATATATTATATATATATATATATATATATATATATATAATCATACACAAGAAAGATATATTATTGTATGGAGAAGATGGATAGATTATATTCAGAAAAAATATGGGACTATAAAGTTTCATTTATTTTATGAGTAAATTTTATAGTAACTGTTGTAGAGATTTGTTTATATGACTTAATTTAAGGGGAGTTAAAGGTTAAGTATGATGTTTTTTCTTTTCTTTTTTTCTTTTTTTCTTTTTTCTTTTTCTTTTATTATTGTTAACTTTCTTAATAATAACCCTGTACTCTGCTCTGGGAAGCGAGGAGGGGAGGGTTGAGGGTGGGTGGGTGGGTGAGTGGGTGGGTAATGATAATATAGTCATGGTAAGCGCTTGGGCATTTCCCCTATGCTGCGTTCATGTGTGTGAGAGGGATGAGAGGGGAGGGAGGAGTAGGGAGGAAGTAGGATGGTTAGAGGAGAAGGGGAGGGGAAGAGAGTAGAAGGGGAGGAGAGAAAGAGGAGGGAAGTGGGGAAGGATTAGAGAGAGTGAACGCAGTCTGGGAGGAATGGGCAGGCGGTACCAATGGTTAGGAATTTAATTGTATTTTGTATGAATAAATGGAAAATAAAAACTTTTTAATAAAAAAGTAGAAATAGTAGATTTCTTAAAAAGGAAGGAGAGAGAAACCTTTTCCTTTTTCTTTCCTTTTTAGTGTCCCAATAAAAATAGATTATAGCCTTTCAGTATTATAAAGTGCCTTTCTTCCCGTAAAAAAGCAGAAGCTGCCTTTCCAAGCCAGAGAAATAATTTCAAAAGCTCTTTACAGGCACACACTCGGAAAAAAAAATAAATAAACGGAAAAGAGAGAAAAATAAGAAAAATTTCTCATCCAGATTCACCACGGGGGCACTAAAAGCTTAGATGTTCTTCGACTTACGGTCTGAAGCAGCAGGGCGATCGGCCATTTTACTGTCTGTCCAGCACTGTGACCTTATAAAGGCAAATCATAAGTGTTCTATTCTTACCAGTATCCTTTCAGCCTAGTCCATTGAAAGGCCTTGCTGCTGGCTCCAGGAGACTAGAAGTCCCTCTAGCTCTTCCTGCTTCACTAGCCATGCATGATATAATCCTGATAAACCAGACTAAATGGAGCATCTTATACAAGGATGGCAAGTATGTGAGGGAAGGGGATAAAACCCCATATCCTGGGCTGGTTCTGCTTTACAAATGCAACTTCATTTTATCCCAAAACCTACTGTATATCTGAGGCTTGTTTGCTTCTATCTCATTTTGACTGAATGAGTCATTGACAAGCATATTGCACCCCACACCCAACATCTTTCAGTAACTCAGATTTCTTGTTTCAAGGGTTCCATCTTCTGGGTTTTTGCCAAGACAAATAAGTGACTGAAGATCAGCACATATCCATTACCTGAACATCTGGCACATGTAGACCAAAGATCTGAAAGGGAAGAGAACAAAGATCACTTTGGCCACTGTAAAAAGGTTCCATGATGAGCTGTACAGTGTAGTTATTTATTTGAATAGAATAGAGCTGGAAGGGACCTTGGAGGTCTTCTAGTCCAGCCCCCCATTCAAGCAGGAGAACTAATAACATCTCAGACAAGTGACTGTCTAGCCTCTTCTTTAAAATCTCCAGTGATGGAGCGTCCATGATTTCTGGAGGCCAGCTGTTCCACTGGTTAATTGTCCTCACTGTCAGGAAGTTTCTCCTTAATTCCAGGTTGCTTCTTTCTTTGTTCAGTTTCTAACCATTGTTTCTTGTCCTGCCCTCTGGTACTTTGGTGAATAACATGACCCCCTTTTCTTTGTGGCAGCCCCTCGAGTACTGGAATACTGCTATCATGTTTCTTCTTTTCTTTAGACTAGCCAAACCCAAGTCCTGCAGCTGTTGTTCATATGTTTTAGTCTCTCTCAACATCTTTTTTGTGATATGATGACCAAAATTGGCTGCAGTATTCCAGGTGTGGTCTTACTAAGGTTTTATAAAGCGGTACTAATACCTCGCGTGATCTTTATGTTTATACAACCCAGGATTGTATTAGCTTTTTGGGCTGCTGCTGCACACTTTTGGCTCATGGTCAAGTGATCATTCACTAGGACTCCAAGGTCCCTCTCACAGTTACTATTTTTAAGCCAGGTCTTGCCCAATCTGTATTTGTACCTTTGGTTTTTCCTGCCTAAATGTAAAACTTTGCTTTTCTCCATGTTGAAACTCATTTTGTTGGACAGGGCCTATTGTTCAAGTTTGTCTAACTCTTTTTGTCTTCTGGGGTGTTAGCTACTCCTGCCAGTTTGGTGTCACCTGCAAATTTGATGAGTTCCCCTTCAATTCCCTCATCTAAGTCATTGATGAAGATATTGAAGAGTACGGGGTCTAAGACGGAACATTGTGGTACCCCGCTGTTTACTTCTCTCCATGTGGATGTAGTGCCGTTGAGGACTACTTGTTGAGTATGATTTGCCAGCCAGCTACAGATCCATCTGGTGATGATGTTGTCTAGTCCACCTTTTTCTAGCTTACCAAGGAGTAGGTTGTGGTCTACCTTATCAAATGCCTTACTAGCATGATCTATTTTTGATAAACCCAAACTTTGTTTGCTTCTAGTTGTTCGCAGATCTGTTTTTTGATTATCTTTTCCAGGATCTTCCCAGGTATTGATGTAGGACTGATTGGTCTGTGTTTTTTGAGTCTGTTTTTTTTTTTCCTTTCTTGAAGATGGGAACCACATTAGCTCTTTTCCAATCCTCAGGTATTTCCCTGGTGTTCCAGGATTTTTGAAAGATATGGTGCAATGGTTTTCAGATAACATCTGCCAGCTCCTTCAGAACTCTTGGTTGTAAACTGATGGGTCCCGGTGATTTATATTTGTCAAGGTCAGATTGGTGTTTTAGTGGGAAGGAAAATGTGAGAAGTATTCACTCTTCTATATCATATGCTGGGGATCTGATCTTCGTAAGTTTAGAGACATATTTCAGCTCATTCACACATTATATCCATATTTCTCCCTACAGGTGATGATTCTGTTGTCCATTTGATTCTAAGCATGGGTCCTGGTGTTCCTCCTTGGGATGTGGCTAACGTATCTCTGCAGGATGGACAGCTGGTGTTGTGGGGCAGAGATGAGGAGGTGGGAGCATCTTTGACTTTTAGAACTTAAAAAGGGGCAGGAGCAGAATCTGAGCATGCTCAGAGGTTATAGGATTGAGGGTAGATTAATAATAATATATCAAAGTAGTGGATCTGCCTAGAGTTCTCTTTTCTATTTTAGAATCTGCTTGAGAAGCGGAAACGAACCAGCAGTTCTGTTTCAGAGAATAACTCAATATTCCAACGAGATAAGGAGAATAGTGAGTATTATCTCTCTCTCTCTCTCTCACACACACACACACACACGCCCCTAGGCTAAATGTGTGACCAGATGACTGGAAATAAAGAAGGGGTGACTGGATTTATTTTCAGCTTGTTCTCTCTCACCCACCTTATTACTGATATCAGGTATTTCTTAAGCATATTAATTGTTTCCTTGGAGTTGAATGGTGGGCAGCAGGACTGCTGGGCACTGTGATGCTCTTGCCATTTTGTCTTGTCCACAAGAATGACCAGACATTTAACTGGGATTAGCACCTTAATCCACACAGCTAGTCCTTTTAGACCCTAATTTTCCCTTTCTTTTGAGATATGACAACTTACCAGGAGATAGACTCATTGGTCTTCTGGTAGATCATCATATCTCCAATGTAAATAGTTTACTGGTTCTTCAAACAGGGGTTTCTTGTGGATGGGATGGCAAAAGCCAAAGTTTCCATCTAAGGCTTGTATGTTAGGAACTTGCACACCAGTTAAAAACCAAAGAGGTGAGAAATTGCAAAGGAGTTTAATGCACAGGGATTTCCAAAACTTCTAGAGGATTGAGAGATCGATATTCCTATCCTATATTCCTATCGATATTCCTATGGCTAGAAAGCAAAAAACCCTGATATTTGACCACCCCTCTCTTCCCTCCACCTCCTACCACCAATCCAACCAGCACTGTGGGGTTTGATGGGATGCTTACTCCTAAGGTGCTCAGGTTTGGGTTTCATGGGGCTTAAACCTTCTGTTGGCATGAGTTTGTTAAAAATAGGTTGTGCCAGAGAAATTTTTCTGCTTTTGTTTAATTATTTATTTTTACAAAATAATAAGATTAGTAATCCAAGTAAATGTTGTGGATACAGCTAATCCTCAACTTACAACCATAACTGAGTCCAAAATTATGATTGTAAATTGTTATGGTTGTAAAACAAGACATAATTTCTGGAAGTAAATTTCTTTTTCACAGCGGTCATTAAGCAAACATGATGGTCGCTATGTGGTCATTAAGTGAACCCTTTTATTTCAATGGGTATTGATGGAAAACAGCAAAAAACACCATGAATCATAGTCATGTGACTGTGGATTGTCACAATAGGTTGTAAATTGATCTGCCTAACATGCAGTCACACATGATGTTGGGAGGGGGGCAATGCGACCATTTATAATCCTGGGATGCTTTATGGCCTGTAAAGCACCTGTTTCATAGCTGTTATTGCCTGTATAGTGACTCACAATTCAATAATTCATTTGATAAAGTTGACTTGAGCCTCCTTCTTTATACAGTATAATAAAACAATGTGGGGTGGATGATCACATTAGTAGTTGGATATGCAGTTGATTGTGCAAATAGCCTTAATGAACTATATCCACATGAATGAAAGCAAGCAATAGTGTTTCCCAGGGCCCAGTGCTTTTCAACATTGTCACAAATGACTTTGTATGAGAGCATAGGAGGGATGCTCATCAATTTGCAAGTAGCACTGTGCTGGGTGGAAGCAGCTCAAAGTTCAAAAAATCTTGAATGAATTGAACATTGGGCCTTATCTAACAAAATGCAGTTCAGTGGCAAGAACACTAAGTCTTTGCATTTGGGTAGCAAAACAAGCTGTATCTGTCTCAACAGTAGTACTGGTGTGAAGGATTTGAGTACCCCAACAAACCACAGATTAAAAACAAGCTACAAAGATATTGCAGCTAACAAAAGAACCACTGCATTCTTGATCTGCATCAATAGAAATATACTGTTAGGTTCTGGAAAAATGAGAATATACCATCAGAGGAAGAAGTGATAAGAAAAATCCTGGACTGTGCTGAGATGGACAAATTAACAAAAGAGATAAAAGAAAAGGAAGACACAGAGTACTATCTAATATGGAACAAGTGGTATGACTGGTTGGAGACTAGAAATAATAGAGGAGAATAAATGTGGAAAGGTCAAAAGTGGAAAATGTGTCTATAATAATGTATAGTAATAATAATATGTATTATTCTTAGTATGAAGTATAGTATGAAGGAAGAAAAATGCAAATAAGAAACAATGGGGCAACAAGGACAAATATTCTAAAGAAGAATAAGGGGGGGAAATGTAAATAATAGAAGATTACCATTACAAAATCGCTGTTAAAAAAAGGGAGGAGTATACACTGTGTGTGTATGTGTGTTATGTTTTGTTGGTTTAAATAAAAAATAAAAAAAGAAATATACTGTTAGGATCATGGGATGTAATAGTTTTGCTCTGTGCTGCATTGGGCACAGCATATCTGGAATACTGTGCCCAGTTTGAATTTCTACTGGATGCTGAGGAATTGGAAAGAATGCAGAGAAGAGTGACAAAGGCTTTGAAGTTAAATTCTATGAAGAATGTTTACAGGAACTCTTCAGCCTAAGGAAGAGAAGATTAAGGGAAGACATGATAGCAGTCTTCCAATACTATAAGAGCTATTACAAGAAAGAACTTGTGGATTTATTCTCTCTCTTTTTTTTTAATATATATTTTATTTTTTATTTTTTTTTAAAAAAAAAACCTAACAACCTGGTGCCTAGTAAACAGCATGTTGTCTGGGTTCACATTTCACAACAATCAATAATAGTCAATTTCTATCATATCGTACTCTACATAACAGCTTTCTTTCATTTTCTCTTCTTCTCATATTGTTCTCTTTTGCAAACATTAGGTTAATATAGTTCTAGTATTTTAGTAACAAAGAGTTAAATATAAACATTTTCCTAACATTTATCTAATTAGTGATAGCATCAATATAGAACTTCGTTTCTAGTTAGTCCTCTTGGTTGCATTATATGTCCTGTTTTCAACATTCTCATTTAGACTTTTCCCTCACAAATTGAAATAATTGTAATCCATTTTATCAGGCTTTTCTTCTTATCTTTGGCTTTGTTTTGTGATTCTGGGGTGTGGACTATCTCTTCCAGTTCCAGTGCTTCAGTCACACCTTGTGTGTTTTCTTCCATCTGCGTTAAATCATAATTCCTTCCAATTGGTAGATTCTTTCATTTTCTGAAAATTCTTATGTTGTGAGGTTAATGTAAAGATATGTCCATTTATGTCATCAAAGTTATTTTTAATTTCGTTGTGGTTTATAGCCATTGTTGTTTGGATTAGTTACAACATAGCGAGCATTTCCTCCTGGAAAGTATTTGGTTTTTCTTGACAAGTTCTTTTTGTAAGCTCTTGAGATTCCATGGTAGCTAGAATTCAAAAAAAAAAAATTCTTTCTCTGAAAACAGCTTTAAAATCACATTTAATAAGTGTTTATCATCCAGGAAGGTCAGTTATGTTTTTCAGTTATAATCTTTGCTTATTGTGGCTGGCCCAAAGTGTTTTGTTTAGCTCTTTTTAAAGATCAAAGAAGTAGTTTATCTCATTCTGGGCATCCTGCCAACACTTATTACAAAGCAGGTAAAGTTATATATTCTCTTCCATCACTAGATGTCAGCAACAGTATGTTTTTGTCTCCTTTAATAGTTTAATTCGGGGCTTCCTTTCATGGGCTTCCTTTCACTTTTGGAGGCTTCTTTGCTTCTTGGGGTATCTTTTACAAAAGTTCAGGATATACAGTAGGAAAGAGAAGATCAAATTTCTCACCCAGTTTCAGCACACTGTTCACCAATGTTCTCTTTCTTTGCTGCCTCTTTGGGGTGGCTTTAGACCCATTTAGGGTCCCCTGGCAGGGCAAAAAGAGCCACGGGAAGTGAAGCGTTTGCAATTCCACAACCATGCATTACTGGGCAAAACCAGAAGTCTTGATTTATTCTCTCTCTCTTTTTCTTAAATAAGATTTTTACTGATTTTTTCATACATTCAATAGTACTTGTTCAACAAATATGTTGTCTGAGTTTTACATTCACTAATACAGATTTAATTCCTAATCCTTTATTCTTTTCTTTAATTATTGATAAAATAAATCCCCACTTTGATAATATTTTGTTTCTTCTTTTTCTTTCAACCTCAAAGTCAGCCTGTCCATCTCCGCACATTCTAGTATTTTTTAATTATTTCTTCATCTGATGGTATATTGTGCGAATATAATTCTTGCTGCTGTTATTACATGTAAAATCAATATATGCTTTGTTTATCAATCTTTTCTGGCATTATACCTAATAAAAAAATTCAGGTTTAAAATCTACATGTTTTCCCAACATCTTTTCTAGCCACGTGTGTATTTTTTTACAATAACTCTTCACTTTGGCACATGTTCACCAAACGTGGTAATAAGTACCTGACTTGTGTTTACATTTCCAACATCTTTCTGACATGTTTTTAAACATTTTTGCTAATCTTACTAGTGGCATGTGCCATCTATAACACATTTTATATAAGTTTTCTTTTATAAGGAGCTGACATTGTCAATTTATAATTTCTTTCCCACAAGTTTTGCCATTTTTCTAATTCTATATTATATCCAAAAAAATTTGTCCATATTATCATTGTTTCTTTAACTTGTTTGCTTTCCATTTTCAAATTCAATAGAAAATTATATTTTTTTTAATTAATTTCTCATCAGAGGTTAATAATATCTTATCAAACAAGGTTTTCTCCTTATAAAATCCATACAGTTTAACATCTTTATCATGTCTAACTTGCATTTGTAAGTATGTCCACCATGATAGATTTATACCCTGATTTTCCATTTCTTGTTTAGATTTTAAATTCCCTTCAGAAATTAGAATATCTCTGTATGTCCAAATTTTTTCAAAATTAACTAATACAAATGCTTCTATTGTTGAAAGCCATCCTGGAATTTTCAAGTATATTTTACATTTTACATATTTTATATAAATCTTAATCCTTAAATCAATCCATAATTCTACGTGCCTTTGATCCATCACATATAATTTTGAATTTAACTTTTCAGTCTTATTCTGGCCTTTTTTAGTGCCAGGCAGGTTTCCATAACAAAGCTTTCTTTTCAGCCAATAAGTCTCTCTTTATTGCTTGTAGTATCATTTGGGACAGTAAGAAGCATCCTGCCCTCTG